CAATAGCCTTCATACTTTTGTATATTTATACAAAGTCAGCTTATTGCCCCCACAATCCGGGTCCTCATTTTACCTACCTTAGAAAGGATGGAAGGCTGAGTCAACCTTGAGCCTGGCGAGGTTCGAACTTACAGTAATTGCAGACAGCTGGTGTTAATCACAATGCTTTTAGTCTGCTGAGCCACCAGGCCCAAGTTCAATACCGCGTTGAGTAATGAGTTATTTCCTCCGAGTCAGGCCAGTGTAAGACACTTATACTGCTGACATGGTGGGAGCAAAATGCCCCATCTGATAGAACAATCAAACGGATGCTACTTATTCTACTTATTCAACGATTCCCTTTAACTCGAAAGAGCCATCTTTGATGTCAGGCTGAAACTTCTGCGCCCAATTTGCGCATGAAGCTTTGACAAGAAAGAGGAAGGAGGCGGCAAATGGGGCTCTATAAATAAAAGAAACCCAATTTATCAAAGGACTCGTCTGTCTTGGCTTGAACGGGCAAAGCTGAGCAGGGTGCAATCTGGTTATTACTCGGAGACTGTTAAGAAACACCAGGCTCGATTGAGAAATGAATTTTTTTTAAAAAGACGGCTTGATGTTATCCCAGCCCTAAAAAAGGTGATTTATGACTAGTCCTTGGCCTTATGACCATCACAACATCCCTACTGTCGTGCAACTACAATTTTGGCACATGGCAACCAGTTTGTATTTATAACAATTGCGGTATCCTGGGGGTTAATGTGATGGCTGTTTGCAGCCTTACCAGAGAGCTTCCGAGGAAAGCCAATGTGGAGGAGCCAAATTCGCTTAATAACTGTGTGATTCATTTAATGACTATAGTTATTCATTTGACGATGGTGCCAAAAAAAAAAAAAGATTGTAAAATTGGCCTCCTCGGTCAGCAATGGACTTTCTGGTCCCGATTGTAGCCTGTATTCCTACAGGGTTACCCTGCCTCCCTGCCAACGATGCCCTTGTTGCCATTTTTCATGTTGTCTTCTCACCTCTATCGTTCTGCACGAAAAACCAGGCAGGAAAAGCTCTTTTTATCTCCTTTGTTTGCCCTGCTGGGATTGTTCAAATGCAGAGGATGGAAAGGGGAGAGGGGAGGCAGAAGAGAGAGAGGCCGAGAACATTTTTGTTCAATCGTTGTTGTTGGGGGTTTTTTTGTTCCATTTGTTCTCCATATTGCATGCAGATGCCCCAGTGCAGGGACAGAAAGTGCCACAGAGCCCTGCTCCCAGCATCTGGCCAAGCCTTGCTGAAATGTCTCCAAATGTTGGACTCCTGTCAAATGAACACTCTCCCCTTTTGTCCTGCTTTTTCAATCTCGGTGCCAGAGACAAGTGCCAGCCTTGGAAATGATTTGTAGCTGAGCAGGTGTCATCGCTGCTGTGGCAGGCAGTGACAGGAAGAAGTCTTTTTAAGACCAACCCTTCCAGTAGGACATTGGTCCCCAATGGGCTGTCGTGTCTTCGTTGCGCGGTGATTTGCTGCTGGTTTCATGCAACTCGGTGCCAGCAACTAGAGCCAGTGTGCGAATAATGAAAATCAGTAACTTTATTACCTACTGTTTATGTTACAAGAATCTACTCAGGCTGCTTGCCTTTCCCTGGGAATGGCCAGATAAAGCTTCAGGGATCTTGGAGGAGATCAAGCTGATGCTGCTTGTGGCTGCGCAAGGATTCCAAACTAGGCCCTCGCTTGACTCCTCCTTCCACTTTAACTGGGAGTTCGCCAACAGGGAGGCAGGAAGGATCTATTAAATATCGTCCAAAACTCCAAGCAGATTTGCTTGGTATGCTCACTCCGACCACATCCACAGCAGCTCTTGTGAAAAGCTAGAATCTTGGTGGTGGGTCTTATGTGCTACAAGACAGGGAAGAAAATGAGCTATCTTAAAACACAGTATAACTGTTGACTAAGGAAGATCCTGAGGGGCCCATCCTTGATCCGAATAACCCTGCCATCAAGCAAAGGGGAAAGCAACAATTTGACTTGGTGACCCAATTGTTTGACCAGGAAATCTGATCACAGTTCTACCTTGGGAGGAAAACAAGAAGGGCTGCCTTTGAACCCAGAGGAGAAAACATCAGCGACTCCTTCAGGATGTTCTTCTTCCAGATCTCCAAATCCTCCCATGGCCCCATGCTCCCCATCCTGAACCTTCTAGGAATCCTAGGTCAGCACCAGGCTGCATTCCAGAGATGCTGTTGACTCCAGCCAGCAAAATTTCGTTCTTAGCCAGACTTCTAATGAAGCTACTTTGCACGACTCTCCGCTGCTCTTTATTTCACCCCTGCCAAGCAAATGCATTTCTCAGATGTGCCAGCTAGGAAGCAATTTCCATCTTCTACATCTGCTTTCTATTGTCAGCAGTGACTGCCCTAATGCGGGAAAGACACCAGCGAGCCATTTTCCCCCTGACTTCTCGGTTACCTGTGGATCCCAGCATAAAACCTTCTAATGGCCAAACTCAGGTAGCATTAATTGCCCGGAACGAAGGCAGTTTCGCTGGCACACCAGCAGATGCTTAATGTGCAATTAACCCCCCCAAAAGCACGGACCCAGTCACCCTCGACTAGCTATGATCCATAAAGTCAACATGTAACTAACACCAGAGAGGCAGCAGATAAGTCTTCGTCCAGCTGGGCAGCTTGATGGGCTCCCCACATGAGGTTCAGCTTTGGATGCAAGGAGTGTGCGGCCATATTTGAAGCCACTCAAGTTGTCCATTTCTCTGGGCGTGCAAACCGTGAGTATGATGAAGGCAGAAGGAAACAAGGTAACTATGAGAGGGATCTCGGAGTCTTAGTGGACAACCAATTCAATATGAGCCAGCCGTGTGCAGCGGCAGCCAAAAAAGCCAATGCAATCCTAAATTGCATTAACAGAGGGATACAGTCAAGATCAACGGAGGTACTAATGCCACTCTCTAAAGCCTTAGTAAGACCACACCTAGAATTCTGCATCCAGTTTTGGTTACCACGCTATAAAAAAGATATTGAGACTCTGGAAAGAGTGCAGAGAAGAGCAACCAAGATGATTAGGGACAGGGGTGGTTCTACTTATCTTTACTACCGGTTCACATCGCGCACACACGCACTCTTCTGCACATGCGCAGATCACCTATGATGATGTCTGGGTCAGTGGGCGGAGCCTCCCGCTGGTTTTATTACCGGTTCTTGCAAACCGGTCCGAACCAGGGGAACTGATTAGGGGGCTGGAGGTGAAAACATACAATGAACGGTTGCAGGAACTGGGCCTGGCTAGTCTAGTGAAGAGAAGGACCAGGGGAGACACGACAGCAGCCTTCCAGTATTTGAGGGGCTGCCACAGAGAGGAGGGGGGTCAAGCTATCCTCCAAAGCACCTGAAGGCCAGACAAGGAATCATGGATGGAAACAGATCAAGGAGAGATTCAACCGGGAAATGAGGAGAAATTTTCTGACAGTGAGAACAATCAACCCATGGAACAGAAGTTGCCTTCGGAAATTGTGGGAGCTTCATCACTGGAAGCTTTCAAGAAGACACTGGACTGCCATTTGTCAGAAATGGCGTAGGGTCTCCTGCTTAGCTGGGGGATTAGTCTAGATGACCTCCAAGGTCCCTTCCACCTCTGTTAATCTGTTAATCTAGGTATGTTTAGCCTAACAAAGAGCAGGATTAGGGGTGACATGGTAGCACTCTTCCAATACTTGAAGGACTATCACAGGGTAGAAGGGGGGCAATTTATTCTCCAAAGCACCTGAAGGCAGGAGAAGAAGAAATGGGTGGAAGCTCCTCATAGGGAGATCCTACCCAGAACCAAAGAGAAACGTCCCGATGGTGTGAACAATTAGTCAGTGGAATAGCCTGCCTTCTGGAGTGGTGGGTGCTCATTATTTTGGCAGCAAAAAATATCTCCCTAATGACAAAGGACTGTATATTGTGACCGTAGATGGATGTCTTTATGAAGTTATCAGGAATTCACATGAATCAAGTCTGACTGGGGGAGAAGGTTTTACCTTCAGCCTACAGCTGGTGGCAGCACCTAGCTAGAGTTGGCTGATCTTAGAAAGCTAAGCAGAATCAGACTCAGGTAAGGATTTGCATGGCAGAGTGCTAGGAATTCCCAGAGCTGTGGGTTAGACAGATGTAAATTGTGTGTGTGTGTGTGTGTGTGTGAGAGAGAGAGAGAGAGAGAGAGAGGGAGGGAGGGAGGGAGATGGAGATGGAGATGGAGATGGAGATTGGATAGGTAGGTAGATAGGTAGGTAGTAGGTAGGTAGGTAGGTAGGTAGGTAGGTAGGTAGGTAGATGATAGGCAAACATGATGAGAGAAGATGGATGGATGATATAGATATACAGTAGATATAGATAGATGACAGATTGATGATAGATGATAGATAGATAGATAGATAGATAGATAGATAGATAGATAGACAGAAAGAAAGAGATAGATGAGAAAGAGATAAATAGAGACAGATGAGATAGACAGACAGACAGATAGATACTGTGTTTCCCCGAAAATAAGACCCTGTCTTATATTTTTTGAACCCCGAAATAAACGCTTGGCTTATTTTTGGGACATGTGGAGCAAGATGGGGCTCTTCTTGCCATCTTACCTGATTTCCAGCTCTGTGTTTAAATATTTTTGGTGGAAGGCTTATTTTAGCGCATGCGCTCAAAAGCCCGATTGGGTTTATTATCAGGGGATGTCTTATTTTCGGGGAAACAGGATAGATGGATAGATTGATAGATAGATAGATAGATAGATAGATAGATAGATAGATAGATAGATAGATAGGGAGGGAGGGAGATGATACATAGATGATAGATAGATGATAGATAGATAATATGGGGGGTGTATGTGTGTATGTCCGTCCCTAGCCCTGTTCTACACAATAGCTGGCATTGTGTACAGGAACATCTACATCTAACCTACCTCTCTCTCTCTCTCCCTCCCTCCCTCCCTCCCTCCCTCTCTCCCTCTCTCCCTCTCTCTCTCTTTCATTGTAGAGCCCCAGCAAAAGCTGTGTATGTTTTCTTTGAATAAAGATGAGGCGAAGCTGTAAAACCTAATAATTGTAGTGTCAGTTTCATACAGCAGAAGATCTACAAAATTGTCAGGAAAGAAATATGTCCCTTGAAGCACCAGAGCTGCTCACATCCAAGACAATGGCTGTAAAGCTAATAACCCAGCCAAGAGATGGAAAAGCGACAACGTGGCAGAAATGTGGGAAGAGGGAACAACAAGACTGTAAGCGTGTCCACCAGAAAGTAAGGAACAGATCTGCCATCAGATTCTTCCTCTTCTTCTTCTTCTTCTCCTCCTCCTCCTCCTCCTCCTCCTTCTCCTCCTCTTTTTTGCCTCCTTCTTCTCCTCCTCCTTTTCTTCTTCTTCTCCTTTTCTTCTCCTCCTTCTCCTCCTCCTCCTCCTCCTCCTCCTTCTCCTCCTCCTCCTTCTCCTCCTCCTCCTCCTCCTCCTTCTTTTTGCCTCCTTCTTCTTCTCCTCCTTTTCTTCTTCTTCTCAACCTCATCCTTCTCCACAAGATAGTTGTAAAGAGACTCATGCCCAGCATTGCAACCTTTTTTGCCGCAATTGTTAAGCAATTGTGCCGCAATTGCTAAGCAATTAAGTGCAGTTGTTAAGTGAGTCACATAGTCATTAGGCGAATCCGGCTTCCCCCATTGACTTTCTTTGTCCAAAGCCAACTGGGAAGGTCACAAGTGATGATGACGTGGCCTTGGAAAGCTGCAACCATCACAAATTCATTCCAAGTTGTCAAGCCTTGGATTTTGATCGGGCGACTGTGGGGAATGCTGCAGCGGTCATAATTTATTTATTTATTTATTTTATTTTATTAAACTTGTATGCCGCCCTCTCTCCCAAAGGACTCAGGGCATCTCACAACGATAAAAAAAACACATAAAATTCAATATTCAAATATAAAAACATACAGTAAGTGTGAGGGCCAATTGTAATTCGGGACCATTGTAACTTTGAACGGTTGCTAAACAAATGATTGCAAATCAAGGGCTGACTCTAAATCCCAGTCAGGTGAGTTGCCTATGCAACATAACTAGCAGCATTTTAAATGAACATTTCTCCACTTCGGGAACCAAGCAATATTTTCCCCAAACACAAACTTCATCCAGAATACTGGCAAGTCTACGCTTTCATCTCGAGGCCGCTTGATATAACGGTGACTCCGTGGCCTTGATTAAGTTACCTGCATAACTGGGAAATGCGAGCGAGCATAATCACATCAACGGCTCCAAAATCGCATTTTGTCTCTTCTCCTGGGAGAGTTTCCCTCTAACAGCTCATTTTATCTGCGTTCTTCCGCTCTCTGTTCTGGCTTGTTCTCTGTGCCCTTTTGAACTGTCTGGAAACCTAAAGAAATGAGTGCCACGGAAAAGGCAGAGTAAATAGAACTATATTTTAGTAGAACAGGGCCCATGGGCTATGAAGCATCTAGACCAGTGATGGCGAAACTTTTCGGCACCGAGTGCCCAAACCGGAATGCGCGTGCATGTATGTGCATGTGGCAAGCATGCCAGAGGTTCGTCATCCCAGGTATACGATTTTATTGATGAGATGGGTCTGAACCTTGTGTTTTGATATGGCCTATAGGTTAATCAATAAAGCTAAATATATATATATGTTATATATATATAACAGAATTACCGAATAACAGAGCTATACCATTTATATATACTATATATATGTTTTCTCGGGTTTTTGCGGGTGTTTGTATGTAGGTCTTTGGTTATTCGGGTCTTCTCCCATGTAAAATTGGAAGTGTCTTGGCGACGTTTCGACGAAGTCTCATTCATCATCTTCAGGCTGGTGTTCTCGGCTTCATGCTTCCAGGAGCAATGTGAGACAGCTGCGATCTCACATATATAAAATTTATATTTTGCTGATAAATAAAGGGAGACTAGTATAGATCTATTTCAAGCTATTTAGCTCTCATCAGTTAGCTATACCCTTACTTGGATTTGAACTTGGGCTGCCTGCATGTTTTACCATTGTATTAACCTCTGAGCCACAAGTTCTCCTCCCTTCATTATCTTGAGCCAAGGGAGAGATTAAGTGTTTTTTTATCGAGACACCTGGTCTACCCCAGCATGTGGGAGGGAGGGCTCCTGGATTGGGGCTGAAAGGTGAAAGGCGATTTCACCACTGGACAGAAGGTATGCATAACCTTGTGAAAAGAAGGCAAAAGTGGGATATGATTGTCGTTGTACACTTCAACTTCTCAAAGGCATGTCTGACAGAAGAAGGCAGTTCTCCATCATCCCAGAATCTCGGACATCCAGAATAATGGCCTTAAGTGACAGGAGGGCAGATCCTATTTGCACAGTAAGAAAAACCTCCGTACTAAGAATAGCTGAAGAGCTGAGCTGTAGGATTTGTTTCAAGCGGAAACTGATACCCACCTGTCAAGGAGAGTCTCCAGAAGTGGAGTTTGATGTAAATGGAAGGAACAAAGCAATTTAACCAATGACCCAAATGTCTTCCTCCAGCTCTGTGATCCTATAATTCAGACTTTGGGTTTTACCAGTAAGCCTCATTCTTTTAATTTAAGAAGCTGACTTTTACTAAATTAAGCGCTCATCTAAGTTAATCTGAGCTACAAATCCCAGTCTTGTGGGAAGGCTGCCCCCAGAGTCCCCTACTGCCAGATTGTAATCTACCTTCATTTCAAGGTTTTGTTGATATGGCTCAAATATTCAGGTATTTCTCAATTTACAGTGGTTCCACAGTACTCATCGTTAGTTGGTTCCGGGAGGTGTGATGAGAACCGAAAACAATGAGTATCAAACAATTTTTCCCCATAAGGAATAATGTAGTGAGTCACAAGGCAGCTGACACCAACAAGTTCTAGCTTATGCATTGAGTACCAAACAAACAATGAGTACCGGGACAAAATTTTCACATCAAAATGTCCTGAGTACCAAATTCAATGAGTTTCAAAGAAGTTGAGTACCAAAGTGTTGTTGTTAGTTGCGAAGTCGTGTCCGACCCATCACGACCCCATGGACCACGTTCCTCCAGGCCTTCCTGTCCTCTACCATCCTCTGGAGTCCATTTAAGCTCACGCCGACTGCTTCAGTGTCTCCATCCAGCCACCTCGTTCTCTGCCATCCCCTTCTTCTTTTGCCCTCAATCTTTCCCAGCAATAGGCTCTTCTCCAGTGAGTCCTTCCTTCTCATTAGGTGGCTAAAATATTTGAGTTTCATCTCCAGAAGCTTTCTTGGCGCCTGGGGAGGGCGAAAACAGCCTTCCCCGCCACCCTGGAAGCCCTCCAAAGGCCAGAAATGGCTCGTTTGCTGACTTCCGGTGCATCCAGAAGGCCCATTTTTCACTCTCTCCAGGCTCCAGAACTTTTCTAGGAGCCTGGGGAGGGTGAAAATGGCCTTCCCCACCCCCACAGAAGCCCTCCAGAGGCCAGATATGCCCCATTTGCTGACTTCCAGTGGGCCCAGAAGGCCCGAAAATCAGCTGACCAGCACGCGCATGTGCACCAGAGCTGAACTAGGGCAACGCTTGTGTGCCCACCGATATGGCTCCGCGTGCCATAGGTTCGCCATCACGGGTCTAGGGTCTCCTACTTGAACAGGGGGTTGGACTAGAAGACCTCCAAGATCTCTTCCTACTCTGTTTTGTTTTTTAATTTGATTTATATGCCACCCTTCTCCGGAGACTCAGGGCGGTTTACAATGCGTTAAGCAATAGCTTTCATACTTTTGTATATTTATACAAAGTCAGCTTATTGCCCCCACAAACCGGGTCCTCAATTTACCTACCTTAGAAAGGATGGAAGGCTGAGTCAACCTTGAGCCTGGCGAGATTTGAACTTGCAGTAATTGCAGGCAGCTGAATGTTAATAACAGGCTATTAGTCTGCTGTGCCACCAAGCTCTTATCAGGCTGTTATTCTGCATTCTGCACAGGTCAAAACCATTGCGTCTCCAACGGAAGCGGAGGGTCATGCAAAATTTCTGCAGAGTTTTGCCCTCCCCGCAGTGGGCAGGGCCAGTAGAAATGTTCCCTCCTGACCCACTTTCAAAGTTCAAATGGAAAAGAATGGAAATGAATTACATTCGGCTGATATTATTCCTTCCCCTCTGTTTAATAACTTCTCCTTCTGTCACATTAAAAATTCCAGATTAACACCAGCCCTTGGAAACATCCAGGGGATTTATTTAAGAATTGGAGGAAACATACAACCTTCCAGCTGTGCTCCTTTGCTCTAACAGCAATAAGCTTCCAGGGATTATAGGAGGAAACATTTAATTTGGAGACTTCTGTTCTATGTTTGTACATTTCTTTGCATTCAAGATCCCCATCCCACCCCCCACCCAGGTACAAAAACTCAGAATGGCTGCCTATTAATTTAGTAGCAGGATGTTCTTTGGTAACTTCCTTGTTTCGATAGAACTAGGAATCATTGATCCCTTCAATGAATTGATCACCAAGGACAAAAAAAACCCAGATTATCTCCTCTTAAATCGCCCAGTATATTAACTTTAACTCCCAATGATCTGCCATTTTCTCTCTTTCTTCTTTGAATACAAAGGGCATCTCCAGAAATAATGATCTAACACAGCCACAAGATCCATACCACATACGCGGCGTCTTGTTAAGAGTGACATTTTCAGTGTCTCCCACTTGTCAGATTTCATCTGTAGGAAGAACAGCCTGAGAAGAGTACTTTTCAAAAGGTGACAAGTTGTGCATGATAAATAAATCTAACATAAAGCTAAACAAATGCTTTTCTAGATCCAGAAAGTTGGCTGTTCTTGGGGCCAAATGCAATCAGATAGATAGATAGATAGATAGATAGATAGATAGATAGATAGATAGATAGATAGATAGATAGATAGATAGAGATAGAGATAGAGATAGAGATAGAGATAGAGATATATAGATATAGATATATAGATATATAGATATATAGATATATAGATATATGCATATTCTTTCTAGCCAGGTTTTACCTACATAAACTAAGTTGTTCTACAGCCCTGGTTCTGTGAAATCTCATTCACAAGTTTCTGGGCCGTTTTTCTGCTGACAAACTGCAACTCTGTGTTGCTCTCTGGGAGACTCAGATAGCTATTTCTGCCTTTTAAGGCGTCATCAGTGAGCCACACCCACTTCTCAGATATCCTCCCTGTAAAGGTACAATGTGTCTTTTTCTTTTTCGTAGGCTTTTATGTGCATATTCTTTCTAGCCAGGTTTTACCTACGTAAACTAAGTTGTTACA